CAAACAAATAATGGTTGTGAGGTCAGTCCATGGGACCGAACCTGTGCTGAAAGAGTTAAGATTAAAAGTACTTTTCTTCATCTGAAAAAATTTCAAATTTCATTTGCTTAATCTCTAAAACCTCCTAAATATGTTTCAAACTTTTCTCTACCCTAACTCTATACAAGGTTGGTCAATTTGACTGACCTCATGACCCCCAAATATATATATATATATATATATATACACACATTACCCTTTTTTTTTCTTTTTAGAATGATTTCAAATTGTACCATGAAACTACTTTTGTTTATCCTAAATAGCTTTAACCTCATAACAGTATACATCTGTTTATACTTAAATTTTCTTTTATTGCCCTATGAAGCATGACTAACTGATAATCCTGCCATAAATTTGCAAATCACTTGGCAAAAGTGCAGCTCATGTTACACTATCGAATTATGTACCACACAAGCTACTTGTGAGCATACTTTGTGAAACATTTTGTATTACTTTTATACCTTATTTTACTTAATCTACCTTTATCTAACCTAAAAGGTTTCTAAATTTTACATTTTAGTTACTTTTATAATAATAAATAAATAACACACATGAAAAAAACAAGAAATAAAGTACTTACCTGGATCCTTTTTTTTTTGCTGTTCACTGTCAATGACACTCAAACCTACTTTTTAATACTAATGGTACTACTGTGCTAAACAATTTATTTAATTAAATAATGCATCAAAAATACAGACTAATCACAGGCAAAAAGCAGACAATCTCTCATTACTATACCAATTTTTCTGGCTTTCCAACTATGTAACAAGAGGCATTAAAAATTCAGCTAAACTCAATGTATATCCTGTGGAAATAAAGTTTGAAATGGAAGCAAAATAGACAATTCTCTGTACAGAAACCAACATAATATAATATGTCATTTGATAGATTGAAACTTTGGCTTTCTATTGGTTCTAAATAATATAGTGTTAAGCATCAGAGAAAACTACTGACAATTTCTTAAAGAGAGGATGTGACAGGTGATGTTGCAAGAGAGGTCTGATTTTCTATTTTATGAGTCTGTAGTTAAATAAGACTAATGGCTATAAAATTTATGCTTTGCCTGAGCAATAACAACATTACAATGAGTAATTTACAATAAGTTCCGTACATCTTGGAGGAGTGGTAAATAAATTAGAGAAGAGAGGATGTCTAGAGAGAAAATGTCACAATTTTCATACTTATGGAAATTCAAGATTTTTTTAAAATTTTGTCACATAAAATCAAAAACTTATATACTATTAAAATTTGGATTACTAGCTATGTTTTTAAGTCAAATTTATTTGTATACCAGTATAAGAATATAGTTTAATTAAATTTTGAATGTAACTGACTAAAACGTTGTGAAAAAAGTATTAAAGCATATATTGTGTGTTTAAAATATAAACTATTATTTTCCCAGTAACGCTAGTACAAGAAATTGTTCACTGTAATTGTTAATGTTTGAATGTCACACAATTTTGATATAGCTGCATACTGAAAACATTTTACAACTTACTTGAATCTTCGCTCTGACTTCTTCTTTGTTGTATCCAGTTCTCGTTGTATCTGCAAGTCACTCCTCCTAAAAATGTTAACTTACATTACAAATCTCTCTAAGATTGTTTTCATGTAATACTTCTAGCAGTGAGTATATTTATAATAAATGTATAGATAATAAATTTTTCCAACAAGACTAGAAAACAACCAGATAAACTTGTTTAAGAAAATAAATTCCATGTGACTTTTAAATGTTTCATATAATCATCCATTTTTAACATTTTTCTAGACTATGCATACATGTTTGAAATGGCTTCCCGTCACTCTATCCACAGCATGCTTCAACATCTTCACTGTTCATGCAATGTGGAGTGGATAGAAATGAGATTCATGATGAAATTGTTAAAATATCCATCTCACACTGTAGCCTTCTCATTGTGTGTATAGGTCACTGCACAAAAACAAGTGGATTGCTTTCTCCCCACATGATATAGTAGTGAGTGTTAACCTGTCCATCACTGAATTCCACTCAAGCCAAGAATCTCAGTGCAGGATCTAGTTATCTATGAGCATCTTCTAATAAGTTCATGTGTGATTTGCATGCTGTACTCCTGTATGTATGACTTTCAAAACTGTGTTGACTGTGGGAGTGTAATGTGATTGGCAACTTGATTGGTGACACACATTATCCATGTGAATTTCCTTCTCCAATGGCATTTGCTTCTTTGTGACTTTCACTGCAACTTAAATTAGTGTTATGAAGTGAATATAAGTTTCATCAACAAGTTATCCTATTTCTTCAAATTTTTATCAGCTTCTAATAAGTTTCTTTGTTTATCACTCTTAAATCTATCGGATCTTAATGCTCCACTAGTGTTATTACCAAAGGTTTATGAACTGTATTCAGAGATAATCTGTAAAAAGCCACTTATAAAGGCAGAATAAATCATAGCATATTTGATGCTGGTTTTATATAGTCCCTGGCATGTAAGTTTCAATATCAGTGCCCCTGGTAACATTTATTTTTGACACTTTCACATTCTTTAATTTGTTTATCTGTCAAACAATATAGCTCCCCAACGAACAGATTTTGAACTAAGGATATTAGAAAAAGATAACTACAGAATTTTTAAGCTAGCCTTGTATATCGATTCCTGAAAATTATAAGTACAAACCTGATATAAGAATCTATAAACAAGGAAAGGTTGTAAGGATTGACAGCCTTTGAAAAATACTGCCTGTAAGCTTGAATCAAGTCATGATTACGATCTTCTGTTATCTAAAACAAAGAAACATTATATTGTGCATCAGTGGTTCATATTTTTCTTAAAACTAAGAAGGTTATTTGTATTGTATGGTAGATTTTGGTAAAACAAGTTCAAAATTTCAAACTCTTTATAAACTTAATAAGAGCACATGTAAATGGTGTGCAGTATTATATTAAAAATATATTTTAATTAAGATACTTGAAACAAAATACAACTTGGTACAAATTAGGTTTTCAATATAACTTGAAACTCAAATCATTTAGGATTTTCATAAAACTTCATTTTTCACATATATATTTAAATAAACAAGACCATATATGTATGATAAATATGTTTGTTTCTAGTTACTGTGTTAATGCTCAAAAACCTTGCTGATTTGTTAATTGATTGATTGTAATATCTGAAGCTCAATGCACTTTTAAAGTCCTTAAAATTCATTACTTCTAGTGATAGCTAAAATCTAAACAGTAAGTTTACAACTGCTGAAACTAGTAGTAACACTTGTAGCCATGTTTTATTCCTATACTAAACAAGAAGACAAAGTCAAAAGGTATGCCTTGAAATATGCGGTATTAAACAAGTGTGAATTTGGAATTTTGTACTACCATTAATAGAGGGTACTCCTTTTCAAACTTTCATACATTTACCAGTTTCAATTAAGTAATTAAATATTAAAATGTGTCTTCTTTTTCACTGTGTAGTTAAAAATAAACCTGGTACAGGAAAGAGTTTAAAAAGTGAGAGAGTTAAAGTCAGGATAATTTATGTTGCCCTGTGGTTCACTGATATATTCTTATTCTAGGTTGACTTAAGTTTCTATTTTTTAAATTAACATAATGTATGTTACATAAAGTTCCTATATTTTCGTTCAACCCTCCCCGGCCCAGGTATTCCAAGTATTAGGGGAAGAAATGAGGACATTAAGTTCTGAAAAATTATTTGTGATACATCCCTGCAAGTTTCCTCCAAAATAAAATTATAGCTGATATATATTAATTTAAATTTTCTTTTGATGCAAGTTTTATCAAAAAAATTTTTTGTGAGATAATTAAAAAGAAAAGAAAATTGGAACTAGTGCTAATTGCTGATTTTTGGCCTTCTGTTGGAATTTTTATTCAGATGGTGGAAATCATTAAATTTCCCCCCTGTGCAGAGACAACCTGTCAAGAGACAAATTAAGGCCATAAATGTGTACTTTTGCAACAACCTTGAAGATTATTTTTAACTCAAGTAGTTTAAAAACAGTGAATGTTAAAATTCAACTATTCACATATTTTTTGTAACTTCCTTGTTTTTAATGTTCTTGAAATCATAAACATATGTTCTAAAACCTACAATGATTTTCTTTCTTGCAATTTATTTGCTGTAAAGCTTTCTTACTTCCTTACATAGGTGCACAAAAATTTAACGTTTATTTCATACTTAAAGTCAACTGAACATGTGTGGAGTTGGTATGAGACTTTTCTGCTGTCATTTAGTTGTGATATTCTGTTATTTGTAAATCATGGAAAGATAATAATTTAACTTAATCAATTTTCCTGCATATTTATTTATACTATATTTGTATCATTTATCTTAGATGATTGTTATTTCACAATTTCTTTCATCAAAGTGGCATAGCATAGCATAACACTTCACTAGCACTACTATAATATATGTATCAGAACTTGCTATAAGCTCAACTGTTATGTAATGCATGTATAACAGCTTAATAAATACTTATGTTATAAACCGGTTTCCATTGTATTATAAAGTTTACAAAAAAATACAATTTATTTTTCAAGAGGTGTCACAGAAACGTCTATTTCAGATTTGGAAATGCTTACGAGTTATTAACATTTATTAACAAAAATATACTTCATTTTTAACTAGCATAAGCAAAATTTTTTTATTCCAAGTTAACTAGTGTTATCCTATTACTGATTTATGTTATAGTTTGGATTGATATTATCTTATATTAGGTAACTGCTATTTTTTTCAAAATTAAAAACAAAATTATTTTAAAGATCATCATGAAAGTATTAAAGAACAGAAACTAACTTTTCCAAAATGATGCCACAACATGTATTCTTGTGCTGAATTTGTCATTCCTGATGATCGTAGATACATGGCATTTATTTTCTGATATCCCCACTCAGTCCAGCTAGAAACTGTAGAAGTGCAATTGACCAAAAAGAGCCCATCTACAAAATCTGGATACTTAAGCTACAGGTGAAGAAAAACATCAAGAATTACAAAATTCTTACAAAATAATTAGCAGCAGCTGCTAATAAAATTGGTACCTCAGTAAACATTTTTATTAAATTAATTAGCAATGTACATCTGTGAGCTACCCTGGAAAATATAAAAACATTAAACATTACCATATACTGTGCATTTTTGGATATTTCTATCTTCTTTGGAAAGAGAATTTCAGTCAAATTTCCTCAAATTTATTTTTTATCTCAACATTTAACATGCAAAGAGAAATCATTCTCTTTGAACCTTTTTAGATTACTTTGATTACACACTAACAAACTTTTAAAATTTAATTCAAAAATAAAATTCTACCTCTATTTAAGGTATTTGCAGAATTAACATTTTATCACTATCTAATGTTTATCTAGTTTATTTCATAAATAATAATTCAAAAAATGTTCAAATTTTCATTTCTATTATGTCTATAGAAACATCAATCATAAAAACTGCACTTCAAGATTTTTTATTTTATTTTTTGCTGGCTCTTAAGCTTGTACTTATTTCTTTAATACCGCTTTGTTCAACTTTGAAGCTACTTATTGAGCCCACATTTTGCATTGCCCAAAAGTGTACTGAGAACATGAACAACCAATGCAAATTTCAGGTTTTAGGGGGAGAAAACAGTCCCTACCCATACCAATAATTTGTTTTTCCAATGACTAAAGCCCAAAGAAGGAATGATCTGAAAACCTCAAGTTTTGCAAATTTTTTTGTGATACATCCAGTGGTGGGATTCAAATATTTTAACAACAGGTTCTCTCACTAGCAGCATGCCACATTGACTCGATAGAGACCAAAGATTATATGTAAAATATATTTATATTATATTATATGTAATATATACAACTTATAAATAATAATTAAAAATAATAACAAAAATACA